ACAGGGCACGCAAATGATAGCACATGCTGCAGACACTGCCAATAAAACGTAGGGAAGTGTATTCGGATTCTCAGTGCTCCTACGTTCAAATGTGCCGTATGTGCTTACGTCCAAGTCGGGCCACTTTTCTCCTTCTTCCTGCAGCACATACAGACACACTACGGCTGGCTACAACTATCATTACAGCCGTTACGAGAAACAGGAAATGACACCGCGAGGGTGTTACTCCTAAGAGTTTCTAAAAGTTCTTACGGGCCCACCCGCAAAAGAGGCAGTTACCCACCTTCAATCGAACCTGAACGTGCAGGCGGAGCCCTTGGTACTCAGACACGAAGGTGTCTGCAGAAAGTGCATGCACTCTTGAGTTAAATCTGTGTTGCAGTTTTTGTCAACTTTTCAAACACAAAAAGAGGTGGCCAGTTCTATCGAGAGCTTGTGTCCAGTGAACCAAAGATACAGCAGTATAGGACGAAGCTGATGAGCTCACGAGCACGGTAGCCTCTCCAATTCCGTCCATAGTTGCCCACGAAGTGCAACACCTCCTGCAGCATCTCTCGCATCTGAGCCCAAAAAACAGTCACAACATTACAAGAATGATTGCAGTTGCTTTAACAGAAGAAAATGTTCTTTGCCAGAGGTTGGAGCAGCACGAGGACAACAACGCAGCGAACTCCCAGGATACCCAACAGGCTCCAAAAATCCAATGAACTTCCTTCTGCTGAGTTTATTGGAGCACCACTTCTATAGGAGTTCTACAACAGTGACCCCCCCTTCACGCGCCTCACAGCTGGATTGTGTATCTTTGGAAACGAATAGAGGGTCTTAAAAGAATCGGAGGCTTCCCCCTCGTCTACCAAACTCTGGGAGTCGGCCTCGTCCTCACTGCCTGAGGACATCGACATATGAGATGGGACACTGAAGGCCTGCGCGGAGAGGACAACAAACAAGCAGGCATCTAGTTCTGTGGAACTGTTCACAAGGAATACGGACGTATTGCCAGGAGCGCCACTGGCAATACAAAGACAGAGGACAGAGGATCACATTTGTATGTTTTTTACTGAATTGCAGAAGACTGCTCCGGCCAGACGCCTGGTAAGCGAGAAATGTTCAAATACTGGATAGAGCGCCATACCAGGTTAAGGGCCCTGCGCAGCACAGAGAACATGACTACCGAGAGGGCCACAACAAGAAGAGAAGAAATATGTCTTGTCTGCCTTCGCTCTCGAAGGCGCAGTTCTGCTTCGCCTCTCCATCTGTGGACACGACCATCAACCGGCGCTTCTTGAGGTTCCCCCAGTACAGGGCCCATGGGCGCCGTCTGCTCCATTGCTGCTCAAATATATGCCAGGTATTTTACTGGAAAAATGAAATAACTGTTAACATCAGATGGCGCTGGGGGATGACGCAGTAGACAGACTGGAGGTGAGGTGGTCCAGCGAACTGGCAAAGCAGCGCCCCCTTGCAACGGTGAGACCGTCCAGTTGAATAAAAGCCCGAAGTAAAAATGTAGGACAAAATTCAGATGTATACTTCACTCTAATAACCGTAGAGTCACTTGATACACCCTGAAGCGGATAGCAGGCAGCTGCTGGTGCACTTGTTCACCTCCAGTTGCTCGAGACTCCCGCAGCTGCCCGGTCTCCAACTGCAAAAGGCCAGTCGTTCCCTAGATCAGCAACCTCAAGAAATAAAAGTCTCCTGAAGCTGCAAAATAACGAGCAATCTTTCAAAGGGTTCTTAATGAAAGCTCCCGCAAAGACAAGGCAATGAGGTCAAGCCTCAGCTACTGTCCACTCAGCCCCCCGTTCAGGGCTGGTAGTTATGCTGGCACGGAGAAGCATGACTCCAGGAATAACTTGCGCAACATGGACCTGTCTGTCTTTGCGTGTCAATATTTTCTGCTTCCATTTCGAACCGCGTTTGAGTTGACGAGGCGCCCAGGCTGTGATATCGATGACCCCACAAGTGGAGAGGCACAAGCTGTCCTCTTGGTTATACGCTAATAACTGTGTGGGCAGTTCCCTTCATCATGAAGTAACAATTAGCCAGTAGCTATTTTGCTGTTAATCTGCTGTGTAGTGAGGCTGCGTCGCAGACCAGGGTGCACAGAAAGAGCTGACTCGAATTTGACTCACCGGTGCACAGCTTAGCTGTAGATTTTTGCACGTTAGAGGGACGAATTGCCTTTATCATTACGACTAGCACAGTAAAGAAAACGAAATGAACTAGAAAACTCAAGGAACAGCTTGCTGCGTGCTGGGGGGAAGACAGGAAACGGCAGCGGGATCGCGGGAAGCAGGTAAGACTCGGTGGTCCTGTTCTCTATAGCCACAGATAGAGTAGTGAGAGCAAATCCTTTTTGAGTAGCAATGCAGAAGTTTATGGCGAGCAAAGCAAAAGTAGGCAGGCACGGGCGCTTAAAAACAGGCTGCAAGCTCTGCGGCCTGAAAAAAGGCTGAACACCGCCGCCCTTTGCCAAAATGCAGACTGATTAAATAAGAGCTTGCAGAAAACAAGCCAAGCGCACAAAAGCCATTGAATCGGAGTCTGGACCGGTCTGCACTGACGGGTGCTGCAGCTTGGCGCACAGTGCCGGCAGTTGCAGTTGCTGCAGAGGACCCTGTGTACAAACTGTCCAGCCATAAGCCCCCTTGCAGCATCCTAGAAGCAGCAAAGTGGCGGATTCTCCATGTAAAAGCAGGAATCGAACCTGTATCTGTCTGGTAGCCAAACCTAAGCTAACCTCTCCAAGGCGCAAAAAAACGAGCCGCCGCAGAATGACCCGAAGGAATGGGCTGAGTTTCTGGCGTCGGAAATATGGGGGTACGCATAAAAGAGCTCAATGAAGTGGAATGCCCCTGCTCAGGAGAAAAGTGCAAAGCGCAGTACAACTGCCGTGTCTCGAAGGGGAGGGCGGCAGGAAAAAGCAAAAGACGTCTTCTCCTCGCCATGCACATTTTGGCCCCCGCTGCATCCTCGCTCTTCGATGGGCTGAAACGAAAATGTCTTAGCCCCCATCTTGCTTGCTCAGAAACCTCGAAGGCGCATGAAACAGGTCCACAGTTGTCTGAGCTCGCGCAGAAACAGCTGTAAGCGCAGTAGAGCTTTCCCACAGCGGGTCATACGTAAAACTCAACTTCTTCTCCTTCTGCTCTTGACGGGAACCAGGGCTTTTCAGCTGAGGAGAAAAACACAAAGATACAATGCCACTTGCCAGTGAGCAACAAGCCTTCGGTTTATTGCCTCTCGCGCAACGAAATTACTCCATAACCCATAATTATGCGTAGTGCACCATTTCGTGTACGTCAAGTATTTCAAAAACGTCGTGTCGGAGCAAGGACACTGAGGGTACACGACCAGAGTTTGAGTGCTGGAACTCAAACACTTCACTGCTGCAAGCGAGTGAACATCCCGAAATAAGCATTGAAGAGCAAGCATGAGCTGAGGTCCCAAAGGGCGGATTGGAGCACACAGCTAAAGACTAAACAAAGAGAGGCAAACCATCTGGCAACGCAAAGCAAAAGAAGCTACAACCTGCATCCCGCTCTGCATCTCGCAACTTCCAACCTGTACTACACTGGCTTACGCCGAAATCTAAAGTACGATTACAAGCAGTCCAGTTTACTGCAATTAAGACTCACCAACAACTGTTACAGTTACTCTGCCCCTTTCCCCCCAAGGGTATGTTAAACCAATACTGCACGTGCGTGCCATGCTCTCTCCATCTGCAGAGGATGTGCAACACAAATATATTCAGTCAGCCTTATTATTAATACCATTGTTACACACTATTCTGTTTTATTACACGAATCGAAGTAATATACAACACCGTGGTCAGCAAAAGTATGAAATAATGAATGACCAGCGTTCAAAGCATTCGCCCGCTGTAGTAACAAGAACGAACACGTGAAGCATAGCAGCTAGCGTTCGTCGCTTTGAACAATTTCTAACTTGTTCGAAGAATGCAGATGATCGCTGAAGCCTTTTTAAATGATTTGGTGACACCATCAGCAACCTCGGGATGGGCGCTCCTTACACGCGCTGTGCACCGCGTCGGAAGAAGCAAGAAGGACCGCCCTTTGTAGACGTCTTCCCAGCTTTTCTAATGCCTGCATATATTGTGGAGCAAAAAGGAACTTTAACTGCAAAAGAAAAGCGACACTCTGGTAATTGCGACATTCAAGCAGAGCCGCTACCTATTTTAAGTACTTTACCCTTCTCCGCGGCCAGCTGGGCGTGACTCCCTGAAATGAAAAAATCATACAAAAAGCGAATTATCTGCGAAAAGCACAAAGTCTGGCATAACACCAAGTCCCAACCCAACATTGGGCTTATGCAGAACCCACGAGAAGTGGAACTCACATCGTGTTCAACAAAAATCCTCAGAAACACTCCTGCATACGTAGTTCCAAAAACGCGTGCATATGGTCCTGTAAAGTGCAGCAACATAATCACATCATGGGCAAGGGCCGGATGAGGTCCCTCAAGCCCCAAAGCGTAACCCCTCAGAACCCAAGTCCAGAAAGCTCTCCCAATGGAGGTAGCAGAGCTTCACTTACCCACACTTCTTGGTCCTGAATAGCTTCGCATGTCGCAAATATGCGTCAGAACGCTCTGAAGAACATGCTTTGCCCCGCCATTTGCCTGAGCAGCGTAGACTCGCGCTCATAGCCTGACGACTTTCAGCCCCAGCAGTCTATCCCTAGCCTTTTGACGTCAAAGATAAACGGTCTCAAATTCATTAGAGCCTAGAAGTGGATAAAAGACAGAAGGGACAAAACTGAGCCGTGCGTGCGCGCACTGCTTACCCCGCTGCCTAGGATTTCGGGGAAGTCAAAGAAGGAACTTGGACTAGCTGGGACATGCCCAGAGGGTACAGGCACCTGAGAACGTGCAGCGCCAAGCTGATTTTCCGATGGGGGCTCTGCTGAGGCTGAGGAATTCCCAGGGTTCGTTGTGTCTTCGGCCATAGCGCACAGATCCCTGAGGCTTGGCCACTGATGATTAGACTGCATATTCCACAGCTCACACAGAAACGCAGCAGCACCAATGAGCCAGTAAGGACACAACAAATCCAGTCCGACGCCGGAGAGGCAGCAGCAGCAATAACAGCATCAATGGGGGTTGCAGCTGTTGCTGTTTTAACAGCAGGGGCTACATCGTTATCTTATGGTTGGGCTGTTAACGCTTCCGGGCTCACGCCATTTGCCAGTTTTCTCCCTGTACTCTTCCTCGAGCCACGGATTTGCACATTGCACCTCGTTATAAGGAAGAATACCACAGTGGCAATGATGAATGAGGAGAGAGCGACCGCCACCAGCGGGCGCTCACTGGTCTTTTGGGGAGAAGTGCTGTTTTTCAAGTTGTAGATCGAGTTGCTGCTGTGTTCATTTGATGCTATGTGACATTCATCAACAGTAGAAGCCGAGGAACGCATCTTTTCAAAAGCTTTCTTCTCCGGTCTTGCTGCCGGAGCAAATGTGTAGGAAGGAAGGATGACCTCAGAGCTCACGCACAGTCGGCGACAGCTCACCTGCAGTGTGAAGGAATGAAACAACGGAATTACATGAATGACTTTTTAATATATTAAGAAAAAGAACATGTTGACTTTTGCTGTACGGGGCCTAGGCGCGCCGGTGAACAGAAGTCGTAGTTGCCATGTCTCGTGTGAGAGCCAGTCACAACTCCCCTCGTTTGGGGCCCCAAGCACTCTTTTGCGTGTTGCTGGCTGTCTGCATTATGTAAATTAATATGAATCAACGCGCAAGAATTGCTAACGGGTGTCTTTCGAGCTTGACAGCACTCTGGGCCTTCCAAAGTAATGCCGAAATCACAATTCGGCTTCAGATCTTGTTGCACGCTGTGAGCTACCGACAACTGTGCCCAACCCAACAATAAAAGTTCTCTTGGGAATTATGATCTAAAACAGACTGCGGCGTTTGGGCCTGTGTGTTTACCTGATTTCTTGCGGTGAATCAAGAAGTAGTTACTTGTGGCGGGCTCGTCGAAAGAGACCTTGTGGTTCTAGCGAGCACTGAGGTCTTGTTTCTCTCAAACGTCTCTGTTATTTTCAATATATAAAATAACTTGCCCGCCAAGTTTAGGACACGAACTTATTCGACAAATAAATGGCAGTCGCCACAGAGAACCAGCGAGATCCGCCGTATGTATTGCTGAGGACAGCAATAAGCCTGTAACTTCCGCCGTGACAAAGCGAATGCTATAAATAAAAACATTTGTGCAGATCTAAAGATTAATGTCGCAGAGAGACAATGGCATGAGGCATGGGACTCGCTAGGCAGCTGCAGCCACGTCTAGTACTGTTGAGTAGGAAAGCGCTTTTGCTGTCCATTAGTAAAAGGACGCATTCTTTTGGGATTTCTTCTGTTCATTTCTAGAAAGAGGCCTTTTTTATGGGCTCTGAAAACGAAATTTCGCTGTTGTGAACGTTGTGGGTGGGAATGGGTGCGATTTCTGCCAACACCTCTCTCAAGAGCTGTGCCATTAATTAATTCTGGGGATTTTGAACTTGCTCCGACATCCTACTGAAGCATATTCCTTGACAGCCTTTTTTTACCTTAATTAATGAAGAATGAAGAAATTTATTTCCCTCCCAAGGTAACAATAGCTCAGTCTCCCAACAGTGCTAGTAGGTCCTGCAAGTCTAATCCCTAGAAACGCTTTCACCGCATATTTTATGCTACTCCCATCTCCGATTGGGCGTGAGAGCTTTTTTTCATTGCTCTAAAGCTTTTATTAATCACACTCTTTCACTTAGTCTCCCGCACCATGGTGTGTTACGGAATTGTTGCATCCCTGAGGAGCAAAAGATTGGAGCAAAGGGTGAGACAGCGAATGCGGCAGCAGATGAACAAACAAGAAAGAGGCAGCAAAGATCAGGAGAAGAAGGACGGAAGAGGACAAATATGAGGAGGAAATGGAAGGCGATGGCGCAAAAGGAGGCAAGAGGACACACTAGGAGTTAAGCAGAGAAGAAGCAGAAGATACAAGTTAAAAAGCAAAAAAAAGGACTGTAAACGCGGGGATGCACAAAACGTGATTCGCTTAGAAACGGGGTTCAGCTCTTCTTCACTGCTCAGGAAGCATCTTCTTCGAAGGACATCATTTTGCTGCTCCAACCATGTAGCCTGGGCTCAAAGAGGAAAGAGCGGGTCTAAATACTTTGCTCATTATGGAGAAGGAATGCTTAATCAAAAGGAAAAACAACTGTGTCTGCTCCCCGGATAAAGCTGCTGCCCATGTTCCTCCATGAACGAAAGCTCAACAACTTCCTTTGCGAGGCGCTCTAAGAGGATATACATCAGGGAAATAGGCTGCCTTTCATTTAGGGAAACGTAGCGGAAAGATCCAGCTTGGCAGCTGGACCTGCAATGAAACCGACAGCTGTCCTGCAGCGTCCATTTCCTGCTTGAGCTACAACGGGCCGACCTGGGAAAACCTCATCACACATCAGATTAGAAACACGCTACAAAGAAGTAGAAGACATGGTTCTTAGACTTTTGTAATTGCTTCTGCTGCTTGCTCCAAAACCGCTTTGAGGGGAAAGTAAATTCTTCTTCCGAGAGAAACTGCCGTGCCAACTGAGGCAAGCATGACGCGGCAAGCATGACGCGGAAAAAGGTAACAGTTTACATCTCTGCAGCAGCGCGACACTTTGTTCAATACGCCTGAGATAGACGCAGGCAAACTAACTGGCTGGTTTCTTCGGCTCCCTTCCCCTCCAGTAAGGATCCTAGGGGATCTCTGATGGCTTGTTTATTCAAGTTGGAGGTTGCGCCCACCTCGATCTTCAGAAGATTAAGCTTTTTCAGGAAGTTTAATTTGTTGAGTATGCATCTGGCAAATCCCTGCACGCCTCTTTGTTCCCCTATAAAGTTATGCAGCATGCTTGCAGGCGAGCTTAAGTTCTATAATTTGCCAGCGAATACGATGAAGGTTTGATAATGTCTTTGGATGATACCACTTAAAGCTAGTCTTCGTGGAACTTCATCTCTCTTGAATTCTTGATGCCGATCCGGCGTGCCATTTGAAAAAGTTGTAGCAACTTGCCTCTTTCGCATTTTGCAGTTTCTGAATCGCGCCCAGCTGATCCCACTGCAGGCGAACTACAAGTCCGGTAGCCTCGAAATTCGCTTTTTTTGTTTCTGATCTCAACTGTGCATAAATTCCTTTTTTTTCTTAAAGGAATGCCGCGGCCTTTTAAGGCATATTTCCGCTAAGTCGGTGTAGGGAGGAAGGAGGTCCAATGCCAGCACTGCAGCCCACTCCTTAGCTGCTGCCACAACATATGATTTGCATGACCTGTGATATTCTGGCGAATTCTAGGGAACTGGGCTTCATGCGCGAAAATCCGAAAATTATTTTGATGAAGCGGCCGAGGGCAGTTCAGACAGCATCGCGTTGAAGTTGAAATGCAGATTTTGGAGGATACCGGGTGAAAAAAGTCCGAACTACCATAGTTACGAGGATCACCTAACCGTCTGCATACTTTGAGCTGCTAACGAATGCCTAATGGGATTGTGCTGCTGTAAGCAGCAGTGAAAACGTGAAAAGTCTGTGCATCCCGCTCACAAAGGGTTCAGAGGTCTTTGGCCGGTTTAAAGGATATCTTGCACACTGTTGCATTTGTGACAGCCATACTGATTGCAAAAGCTGAAATTCGGCAAAGCTAAGCTGTTGTTCAAGATAGGGTTTCTCAACGCAGTACAGTTTCCCTGTGGGCAGGTGTGTGCAGGGGATTCAGACAGAGCTAGAAGTAACTTATGAGCCCTTAAGCTTGGAGAGAAGTTGAAAGCATTTTTTTGTGAGGCCCGCAGCGAGCCTCCGGCGCTGTAGGGCCCTCTAGGGCCCCGCGGAGCCCTGCAGGACCTTCTGGGGCCCCCTGATTTCCCCAAAAATACAGGGCCCTAAAGAGCCCTCAGGGGTCCCCTGAATGCCCCTGAAGGCTCTTTGGGGGCCTCCTCAAGGCCCGTGGAAGGCTCTGGGGGGCCTCAGGGGCCCTTAAGGGCCTTCAGGGGCCGGTGAATACCCAGGGGCCGTCCGGCTGCTGCCGCACGACGTGGCCGTGCAGCAAAAGGTTCTGCCACTTGTCCTTGAGCTGCGAGTTGCGGCGGCTGCCCAGAACGGCCCCATAACACTTCTCTATTTGCCGCCAGCTGCCCACGCCCAGGTGGTTCACAGCCTCCACAAAGGCTGCTGTCTCGGCGGGGGACCAGCGGCTCCGGGCCCTGCAGCAAACGCAACAGACCAGTGGACCACTGCAGCGCAACACCAGCTACTGGCCAGGCAGAGGCGAACCACTGGACCACTTCAGCTCCGCAAAGGCCCTAAAGAAGCTGCGTAGGCGCCTCGTAGCGACGGCCTGGGCACTGGGGCCTAGCTGCATATTTCAGTCACAGTTGAACACGCTGGTGCTGCTGCTGCTGCTGCTGCAGCGGCTGCTGTTGCTGCATACTCACCGTTTGCCCTGGGTACTCGAAAGGTCGTCGTGGGGTCTTTGATGTTTCACTCTTCCATCCACTGAAGCAGCACAGCAGCAACCGAAGCAGCAGCAAAGGCCACACTAAAGCATTTGACTGTAGCTGCGTGCGCCCTCAGCTACTGTTGCTTCTGCTGCAGCTTCTGCTGCACTTCTGCTGCTCTTGCTACTGCTGCTGCAGCTGCTGCTGCACTTGATAGATATACAGGCACTTGGCTTTAAGGAACTCGTGACAGAAAACCTACGGCACGAATGGCGGTCGCCCCCGTGGTTGCTGTATCGCTGCTGCTGCTTCGCGGGCCCATCTCTGCAGCAGCAGCAAGCAGCAGCAAACAGCAGCAAACACCAGCAAGCAGCAGGAGACACACAGTTACCCGCCCCAGGTCCTCAAGAGCAGCAGCAAAGCTGGGAAAATAGACTAAAAGAGCAGCAGCTTCTAAGAGGGAAGGAAATTGCAGAGCCACAGAAAAGGCTAGAGAGGAAACGCACGTGAGCGAAGAAGCAGCAGCAGCAGCAAACAAACAGAGGCAGCAGCAGCAGCAAACGAACAGAGGTAGCAGCAGCAGCAGCAGCAGCAGCAGCAGGCGCTGAGCTGGGGCCTCACTCGTCGGCGGCGGCGGCTGCCTCTCCACCTCTCAATAGGCTCCACTGCTGCTGCAGCGACGGTTGCTGCTGCTGCTGCTGCAACGTTTCCAGCTGCTTTGGCTGCTCGTGCTGCTGCTGCTGCTGCAGCCGGTAAGAAGAGTCCGCCCGAACCTGGCAGGAAGCACGGCTCTTCCCATCAGCAATGGGGCCCGTGAACAGGCCCCTGCTGGGGGCCCCCGGGGGCCCCCCACTGCCAGCTGCTGCTGCTGCTGCAGCAGCTGGCCGGCGCACCCACGGCAGCTCTCTTCGGACAGCAAAGGGACCTTGAGGTGTCTCCGAAGGGCCCCTGGGGGGCCCACCTCTTGCATCGGCCTGTGGAGCCCGTCCTTCTTCTGCTTCTTCCGGTGGCGCTGCAACTGCAGCTGCTGCTGCTGCTGCTGCTGGTTGCTGTGTCACTGCAGCTGCTGCAGCCTTTCTCTTGCTGGCTTCCCTGTAAGCTATTTGGGCGGCAAGCGCTGCGGGTAAGTGGCAGGCTTTGCTCTGCTGCAGCTGCAGTGCCGCAGCCTCCTGCTGCTGTTGCTGCTGCAGCTGCTGCTGCTGCACCAGAAGCTGCTGCTGCTGCTGCTGTTGCAACTGCTGCTGCAGCAGCATTTCCACCTGCGTGCGCTGAGAAGCCCACGTCGCGTGCCACAGCAGCAAATGGGGAGGCGGCAGCGCACGGCATGCCTCCTTCACAAATTCACATATTTGCTGCTGCACTGCAGCAGCAGTTACATGCAGCGGCTGCTGCTTGGAATCTCTGGCAGAGGGCGCCGGCGTTTCTGGGCTAGATGCAGCAGCAGGCGGTGCCGATTCGGCAGCTGCTGCTGTTGCTGCTGTTGCTGCGGTTGTTGCAGCTGGTGCAGGTGTTGCGGGATCTGTATCTGGCGCTGCAGCTGCTGCCGTTTTTGTGTCCGCTTGTTTCGGTGCTGCCGTTGCTGTCTTTGTTTCTGCTGCTGCTGCTGCCTCCGTTCGTGCTGCTGCTGCCGGCAGCTCTGCTGCTGCTGCTGCTGCTGCTGCTGCTG